TTAAAATTTTCAAAAAAAAAGATTTTTAAAATTTTTTGAAAAAAAAATTTGAAATTTTTTTTTGGAATCTCTTTAATTGTCTTTTCAACATATTCAAAGCTGATTAAAATGCATACAGTAGTTTTTGAGAATAATGCGTTTTTCGATTTTTTTTCCTCTCCATAAGTTCCAAAAAACTCAAAATTTTGAGTTAAAAATTTCAAAAAGTTATTTTTAAGTGGGTAGGAATGTATGGGAAAAAATATATTCGGGTCACTTTTTCCATACTTATTTGGCTATACCCTATCACATGAAATTGCCCATATGTATATAATTATGTGCATTACCGTACGTGGCAAATAGCATGACCATGGTTTTTGACATTTTACTCAAAAACTATATTTTTAAAAAATTTGGAAAAAATATATGTTAAAGGGGACATTATAAGGTACTTTTTACAACAAAAGAGAAAGTGGTCACTTCAAAAAATAACCCTAAAAAAAAAATTTTGAAAATTTCAAAAATTTTTTTTGAAAAAAAAATTTTGATTTTTTTTTCTAAAATCGTCTTATCTATATTTACAACCTCTTAAAATTTCATTAAAATCGGTTCAGTAGTTTTCGAGAAAAATAAGTTTTTTGATTTTGCTTTCCCCCTCCATAACTCCCCCAAAAAAGCGAATTTTGAGTTCAAAATTGCAGAAAGTTATAGTTATATGGATAGTAATATATGGGCCAAATTTGAGAAAAATAGATGCGGGGGCAGTTTTTGCACACTTAACCCCCTAAGCCCTTTGTCCTTGAAAAACTTATCATTCCCTCACCGTTTTAAAACAGTGTGATTGGACCAAATTTTAAAGACCTACGAAGCCCTGCTTTAATTTTTTTCAAAGTTGTCAACATTGTGATTGACAACATACACTAGAGTGAATGGTTGTAGAAAGGATGTTTTGTTAAAACTAATTTGTCAATAAGTTTGTTAAATGTTACATTTTTTAACGTCATTCCCTCATTTGCGTTCTATAACGCTAAGCACTTTCTTATTTAATAATCATAGTATCTTTGCATGTGGTTCAAGTAGTAATATCGTACTTTTCTTCGTACATAAGAAAGTAAGGTTATGTTTTTGAGATTATGGTCATTTTGTTTCGTTTCGTCATTCCCTCATCATCATTCCCTCATTATATTTTTTGATGAGGGAATGATCCTTGTGAGGGAATGATGTATTTCTTAATAAGTGCACTGAAAAAATATATTTATGGTACTGCCATAAATATAGCCAATTCTCACATATTATATTGGTGGATATAGGACTGCCATACAGTATTGCTGTTTCAGTTATATGCAGTGTAGAACAGCCATTTGTATGTGAAGAACACCAATACTGTATTTTAAGAACAGAAATACAGTATTGCTGTTTCAGCTATACGTTCTAACCATACTCGTATGTCGGAATTGACAATATCATTTTTTCAGGGTGTAAAATATTTATATTTGTTTTATTTATTTCAGTACCGTCAACTGGGACTATTTTGTGAACGCGACGTTTTTAATGAATATAATTCTTAAAATGAATTATTTTGTTAATTTAAATAGAGAGCAATAAATGTTATTATTTAATTTTTTGTCAGTTGGCAAAAAAAATTCTAAAAACGGAAAAATTGTGTCAAAAATTTTGAAAGTTCGGAAAAATTATACCAGATCTTCTAGACTTTTAATGTGTCTCATAAACTGAGCTGGATATTTGTTGTCAATTGTGTTGTGATGATACATACGCAATGCGCTAACTTTTTATTGACTATTTTAAGAGAAAAGTGGAAAAAACTGAAAAACCAGGATTCTATGGGGCTTTTTTGTGCACTTAAAAAATCAAATATTTTTCAGAAATTTGTTGTTTAGTAAGAAATGATGATTATGTTTATCATTTTTATACATTTTTGTCTTACTTTTCTGTTAAAAAATTATAAATTCGTTAATTAAAATCATTAAAACCTCAACCGGTGCGCAACGTAATTTCAATAGATGAACTTTAATTAATATTTATAAGTGTTTCAAATTAGTTTTAATACTTTTTCCCGTTTCTCTTAAAACAACTTGAAAAGTACATTAGATTCTCTTTCATTATTATTCTACGACGTAGATTTTTAATATGAAAATATATCCTTATCTTAACAATCTTAAAAACATAAGTAAAATTTTAGACTGATTATAGAAATCAAAGTTTGTCATTTAAATTATTTAATATTACTTTTATAAATCACTGTGTTTTGTTCGTATAACAATTAAATTGTTACATTATAGATTTAATTATTATAATTTTGCAATAAAATTATTTAATTATTATTGTTTTGCAATAAGAAAATAATTGGCGCTTTACAGAGTTTTTAATTATTGTGGAATCATATTAAAAATCCTTCCCTCACGACTCTGTTATACCTATTAGAGCTGTGCAAAATAATTCGAACCGAACTGTTCGAATATTTTCTCGTAGTTCGAATGTCGAATATTCGACATCCGAACTAGGCCAGTTCGAATGTCGAATATTCGACATTCGAACTAAGCTAGTTCGAATGTCGAATTTTCGACATTCGAACTAGGCGATGTCGAATGTCGAATGTTTAACATTTAATCCCTGTACTTAGAGTAATTTAAGATAAAAATATATACACTGGGAAAGAAAAGGAAATAATTTGCAGCGTAATTTTACATTTTCTTCTTCTTTTTTATTACAAATCAGAATTACTAGAAAAATATTTTCTAGAATTATTACAAAAATTCTTGTTTCCAATGAATTTTGAAACAATACCTTTTTCTAATTTCATTAAATAATTGAATTTTAGAAAAACTTCCATCAAAATAATAATTAGAATTAAATTAGAAAAATTTTTAGTGGAAAACAGTTGCAATTTTCCAAATTAATTTAAATTCAGAAGGTTTTAAACTAATATTTTTGCCGAAAAATATAAAATTTTATATTTAAAAAACTATTTAAGTTTTAAATAATTTTATTTGAAATTGAACCAGTTTAAGCAATTGTTGTTTTTTAAGTATAGGTAAATATATTTAAGATTTTAGATCGAAATTTTGTTTTTAATTTTTTTTATTTACTATAATTGAATTTGCTTTGGATTTTTTTGTAATAGCTATCAGCGAATCAGTCAATTTTTTGAATATGGAAATCAGGGAAAGACTAAATTAAATTTTAGTCGTAACTCTATAATAGTAAAATTTAGTTACATATTTTACTGAATGTTACTCAAGTTATTTTTACTTTGTACGGCAGAAATAATAATTACTGTGATCCCTGATATATGTTTAGGCGAGAATTACTCGCTAAAAGCGACAATTGAGTAACATTCTCTGGTTTCAAAGAAGTTCGCTTGGAATTGACTATATTTCCTGCAGTTGAAAATAATCTTTCACTTTGAATTGAGGTTCCTTGAATTCCTAAGTATTTGGCTGCTATCTTACCAACAAATGGAAATCTTCGCAAATTGCATTTCCACCAAGTGTACGCACAATCGTTAACGTTGATTATATCCTCGTTAACATACAAAATTACCTAAAAATAAAAACATTGAATGATTATAATTAAATAACAACAGAAATAACATTTGTTATGAAACTATATAACGAAGGATAGCATGTAATCTTAAGCATATGTAATATATTAATAACTTTTCACAACAAGCTTGGAGAATGGTTTTTCTAAGTAGCAAAATGTCACACCTTTAACAAAAAGGTTGCCACAAAAAAATTTTTTTGCTTTTCCATAATGTTCAGACAGAAATTTAGTAATTTCCCTGTCATTAAAAAATATTGTGATTCACTTTAAAATTAATAAGATATAATACATAAAAAATATCCCTAAAATTATCGTCTAAAACTATTAATTTTAGATTTTAGAGAAGAAAGTGTCTGTAATTTCACTTAATTTCTTCACATGTGGACTTAAAAAAATGTTCAGAGCAATTTTGTAATTTAAAACTTTTATAAAAATTAATTCTTTTTGACTTCACGAATATTGTATAAAAAAAATTAAATAAATAAGAATTAAGATTTTCAAAAATTTCTAATTTCAAAACTTTTAAAATTAAATAATTTATAAGATTTGCTACTGTAACTTTTCCAAAATTATTTTCATGATTTTAATTCAATTATTTTCCTGGATTTTTAAATAAAATTCTTCTTTAAATTAATTTGTTTTAATAATTTTCGAGAAAAAAGAAATATTTCGCTAAAATAATTCTGAAACCTATTTTTTTAGAATTCAATTTTTGCGAAATAACATATTAAAAAATGTTTTAATTACATATATATATATATAATTTAAAAATCAACGAATTTAAAACTTCTTAAAAATTTTAATTACAAGCTTTTTGTTAAAAATTAATAATATTAACAATATCCTTGCTGTAAGATTACGTTTTATGTGCAAACACAATTGTAATAATAACCTGTTGTTTAATTTGCTCTAAATTATTAGCAATTAATTCGTTTTGTTTTTCTTCCACTTTTGAAATAAATACCTTAAAGGCTTTTCGGTTTTTTTGCGCATTTGTTATTAAATCTATATGAAAAAGTAAAGAATTATTTCAATGTTTTATATAAAATTGCTTTTTTTAAATAAAAGTTTGGTACTTACCTGGTAACGATTCAGAATTGTTTTTTTATTGACATTCATATGCTTAAAAATTTCCGAAGAAATAGCTGCAATTATTGTTTCTGTTTCTGAGTTGTTCAATAATATGCATCTAAAACGTGGATCCATTACCATTGCTTTTCTGTATAATTCACTTTATTGAATTAGATTGAAACGGTTATCCAAGTTTTTTGTTAATGAAATTATATATAAACGAATTATCAACGGTAAATCATCTTTTGATTTTTTTTTCTCAAAATTTTCAAGAGCATCCTTTATAAAAAGTAAAACAGGTACAGTCATTGACAAAGAAGGGTAATTACTTCCACTCATACACTCGGTTGCTTCATAAAATGGTTGTAGTATCATTATTAAATTTTCTAATAAGCACCAGTCGGACTCAGTAAATTTTTGTTAAAACTTTAAAGACTTATTTTCCATTATTGATGATAATGGAATCTTCAATTTTACAATTCTTTCAATCATTAAAAATTCTGAATTCCATCTTGTCTCAGTCAATTGAAGAAGTTTTAAAGGCCGTTTTTCTCCCATGATTTTTTGAGCTTCGTCTAGTTTTTTTTTTATTGAATCAGATTTATTGACTTTTCCTACGATTTTTTTACACTGTAAAAATTTAAAATATTGAATAACATAAAGCCTTTAAAATATCTAAAAGGATTCAAGTTTATGCGGTTAAAATATATTAACTAGTAATAGTAGAAATACAATTAGTTACCTTTGATAACAATATTTTAATCACCTTGTTTTCTGCTTTTGCGCTGTTGACTACCAAATCTAAGGTGTGTGCGAAGCTTCGTATTTGGGTCCAAGTGGGAAGTAACTTTATAGCTGCAATCACGTTTCGGGCATTATCAGTGGACATAAATATTTGCATAACATCACTACTTTTAGCTAAGGAAGAAAGAAATTTATTAGTAACTGACACTTACTTAAATACACTGTAAATATAATATATAAGAGTCAGGCTCCATGAACTGGCCCCCTGTTTCACCCACATTTATGAAAATTGAAACCGATTACATTTTCTTTTAGCTATTATTGTAAGTAATGATATCCCAAAAGGATTTAATAAAAAATTTTAAATTAAAAAATTTATAAATAATTTAAGTTTTATACACCATTTAAAAAAAATATTCTCAGTTTTTAGAACTTATAATAAAAAAATATTTCAAGACCGGGATTTTATTGATAAATAGATGTAATTTTAAGGAATTTATGTTAAATTGAAAAATATTATTTTTTAATGCAAAATTCAGTAATTTTTTTATAAACAAATAGAGTTATTTTAGTGATCCCAATCGAAAAATGAAATTCTTTTTTTACATTATCAACCCTCAAATTCTCAAGAAGAAGTACGTAAAAAATTGGTGGTATTCTCTAATTTTGAGCAAATGGCAAAAGTTGTTTTTGTATAAAAGTATATAATTTTACCAGACAGACTGAGAAATTCCGATACTTTTTTAAAACAAAAACGAATCGTCTGTATTTAAAATGGAAGATAATTTAAACATTTTCGTTTCTTATTATTTATTATTATTATTCGTCTTCTTCGCCTACAGAAGACGAATAATAATAAATAATAAGAAACATAGATGTTTAAATTATCTTCTATTTTAAATACAGACGATTCGTTTTTGTTTAAAAAAATTATCGGACATTCTCAGTCTGTCTGGTAAGATTATATACTTTTATACAAAAACAACTTTTGCTATTTGCTCAAAATTAGAGAATACCACCAATTTTTTACGTACTTCTTCTTGAGAATTTGAGGGTTGATAATGTAAAAAAAGAATTTCATTTTTCAATTGGGAACACTAAAATAACTCTATTTGTTTATAAAAAAATTACCGAATTTTGCATTAAAAAATAATATTTTTCAATTTAACATAAATTCCTTAAAATTACATCTATTTATCAATAAAATCCCGGTCTTAACATATTTTTTAATATAAACTTTAAAAACTGCGAATTTTTTTAAAAAGGGGTGTATAAAACTTAAATTGTTTGTAAATTTTTTAATTTAAAAAATTTTCTTAAATCCTTTTAGGATATAATTACTTACAATAATACCTAAAAGACAACGTAAATGGATTTAATTTTTACAAATGTTGTTGAAATAGGTAGCCAGTTCATGGAGCCTGACTCATAATAATTACCTGGTAAATTCCATTCATTTATAATAAATAATAAATAATTCTTCAACGATTCGGCTGTGTGCCTCTCTGTCACTTCATCGTTGCCAACTACGTAAGTCCTCAGATCAAAATTTTCAGTAATTATGTGCACTGTTAATGAAATATAGTGGTCATTCCCGCGAGACTTCCAACAGTCTGAAGTATATGAAATACTTAATGCTGTTTGAGCATGAAAAAGAAGCTCATTCTTGATTTCCGTTTTCATTTCCGAAAATAATTTCGGAACAATTGTCCTTGAAAATGTTGTCCTACAAGGCATTTTATAATTATTGCAAGTCAATTTGTTTATCAAATCTTTAAAGCCCTTATTTTTGACAACATTATATGGCTGCATATCCGTGGCAATCATTTTTCCGATCCATTTGTTAACATCGTTGTTATCCATAGTGTAGAATCTAAAGCAAATATTGAATATCTTTTTAAAATTTAAAATTATATAAAGGGTAAGAATTCCTGAAGTGGGCCCCTATTTTTTGGGTTGGTGAATTTTTCTCATTCTTATATGTTTCGATAGCCTATGATGGTATAATAAAAACCTGTAAATAGTTTTCCAAAATTCGAATATTTGCAGAGATATTAAAGGTCAAAGTTTTTTTAGCGTTTTAGTAAATAGCTAATTACTCGAGATCGGATAAACCGATTTTAATAAAAATTGAAGGTGAATTTACCTGAGTAATTGTACTTTTGATAAATGATCAAAATTTTAATTAAAAAATATAATTTGTTTAAATAAATTAACTTTTTAATTTTTGAGGTTAAAAAAATGTGTTCTTCTTCTTTTGTATATATATATATATATATATATATATATATATATATATATATATATATATATATATATATATATATATATATATATATATATATATATATATATATATATTTTTAATAATCAAATAGAGGATACTTTCTATATTTTATTTGAACAAAAAAAAATTAATTAATCTGTAATTTTTTTGGTTAAAGTTGTCGAGTTTAGTTTGTTCATTTGTTTTGTTTTAAATCTCTCTTACTTTTCAAAAACAATTTTGTAATTAAAAATATTATATTTTCTAAAGTAATAAAGAATTCTGCTTTTTTATTGTTCAAATAAAATTTTAAAAGTATTCTCTATTTGATTATTAAAAACAAATATAAAAAAAGATGGAGAACACATTTTTTTTAACTTCGAAAATTAAAAAGTTAATTTATTTAAACAAATTATATTTTTTAATTAAAATTTTGATCATTTATCAAAAGAACAATTACTCAGGTAAATTTACCTTCAATTTTTATTAGAATCGGTTCATCCGATCTTCAGTAATTAGCTATTTACTAAAACGCTACAAATAACAGCTTTGATCTTGAATAACTTTGGCAAATATTCGAATTTTGGAAAACTATTTTTTTACAGGTTTTTATTATACCACCATAGGCTATCGAAATATATAAGAATGAGAAAAATTCACCGACCCAAAAAAATAGGGGACAACTTCAGAAATTCTTACCCTAAAGCTATTTACACGGAAAAAATAAATTCTGTAAGAATTCCTGAATTTGTTCCATAATTGAGGATTTGTGCAAAGTTCCAGAAATTTTTAGAAATTCAATGTAAGTATATCTGAATCGTTCCGAACTAATTACGAAACGGTTTTTGTGAGACTTTCAAAATCAGCATTGTAAATAAATTCCTGGAGAAATACAGGACTGGTCTATAATATTATCGAAATTTTGTCGTAGAAATTATATTTCTTCTAAAATAGTATTTACAAGCGTCTAATCAAGGAGAACTCCAGTTTAAATTTCATAATAATTCCCGAACTTCATCGAAAGAAAAGATGTGCCGACCCCGTTTCTCACAAGCGCTGAATAAAAGTAAAGTCTAGTATATAAGAGACTTCCCAGGTCCCTACAACCAGCGTGCGATTCAATGCGTCGTGTATTTGCGTTTATTTGTGTATAAATTATGTGTGCGTTAGAATATATGTAGGTAGCTATAAGTGTATTATGTATGTATGTATGTATGTGTGTGTATCCTCCTCAACCAATCACAGTTCGCCTTGCTTGACGAATGTCGATCAAGTATATACGCGTATACACAACTTCTTTTTTTTATTTTCTTTGCTACGGAATTGTTCCGGAACTATTCTGTAGCCCTTATAAGAGCTTCTTCATATATGAAGCGACCCTCTGAATTTTTCCCGAACTCATCGGAAGTTCTACCGTCCAGACTATCTGAAATACTCAGCCGCTACATTTCGTAAAAACTATCACATAAATACCGAGTTCTTACCATAAAATTCCTAAATATCTATTTTGAAAGTTCGACATTTCTTCCAAATAACAGCTCTATAATAATTACCGACTTTTGCTCATATCCTCAATTTCGGAACGAATTTAGGAACTATTTCCGAATTATTTTTTTCCGTGTAAAAACAAATTACATTCAAAAATATTATTTTGCCACATTAACGCAATCTAACAAAAAATATAATTGCTTTATTATTATTTTTGTTATTCTTTAGTATTTAGTTTTTTGTACATAAAAGTCTTTAATAACAGAAAAATTATTATCAATGTTCTAGAAAAAATATATATTTCTTAAAAGTTGTGAACTTTAAACATTTTTCTATTCAGAATTCCTTTATAATTATAATAAAATATTATTTAATATACGACATGGCAACAATGTTTTAAATTAAAAAATAATTAATTTATCTTTTATTCGTACTTACAGGCCTCGAATTGACTTTAAAACACAAAAAACTTAGTGTTTGTCGATTCCTTTTTTTATTATTTTATCTTTATTCTAAGAAAGCAGTTTAAGATTTTCAGGATTTTCAAAGTTAGCAAGAAGTAGAATTTTTGTAGCGTTCCTAGAAATTTAATATTTTTTCTCTATTTTGGATAAATTTCTTAATTCTTTGTACCTGTTGCAACCCTTGTTATTGGCGAAATTCATTAAAATACAAAAATAGTCTAACTTGTAAATAAATTTTTGAAAAATATTTGAAACTAAATTTTTAAAATTTATTTTAATAATTGATAATTTAATTTATTCATAACAAGTCTTCTGCATGCGCTAAAAAGACAAAAAAAAATATAAAAAATAAAAAAAATAATAATAATAATAATATTATTATTATTATATATAAATTATAAAAAATATAAGACACTTTAGAGGAAAAGATTTGATTATAGCTATTTTTATCACTTTGAAAATAAAAATAAGTAGTATTTTTTTATTTTAAAAAAGTGTTATTTTGTTACACAATTCATGGAAGAAAAGTAGAAATACAATCGAATTTTTCAAAACTAAGTTGAAAAGAGATGCCTTTTATGAAAATAGTAGAATAGGTCGAAAGAATGATGTTATCCGAGGCCTTTATTTACATATGTACACTGTGTACTTTATACTTACTATTTATTTATAGAATGAAATTATATAATTGTTTAATATCTATTTCAATTAAAGAATATTTTTTTCGCAATATAACCTTTTTCTTTTAGAAGTAATTACTAAAATCTTTTTCTTTATATTAAAGTAGAAAGAAGATTTTATTTTGAGGCAGAAAAGGCATCTAATTTTAAGATGCAATATTTTTAAGACAACTTCTGTGTAATTTAAAATAAATTTTTATTTAATTGAATTTTAGCAGCAAAATTGTTTGTTATGAAATATTTTGATATT